GGGTTTAGGGTTTAGAGTCTACGGTTCAGGGTTTAGGGTTCAGGGTTGAGGGTTCAGGGTTTAGGGTTTAGAGTCCGGGGTTCAGGGTTTAGGCTTCAGGGTTGAGGGTTCGGGGTTTAGGGTTTAGAGTCCAGGGTTCAGGGTTTAGGGTTCAGGGTTTAGGGCCCCTAAACCCTAAACCCTAAACCCTTGAGGGTTCATTGTTGGGCTTTAGGGTTTAGGCTCTAGGATTCAGGGCGGACAAAGCATCACCTGTTACCTATCCTGGCGTGCTGCACACTTGGATTCAGATTCAGGGGCTCCTCCGAGAGATAACATAGTTGCGAAACAAAGCATCGGCACATGTGTGCGCGGAAGCATTCTTACTTAGAGGACCATGGGACTTGGTAACTAGGGGTATAAATAAGGTAACTTTACTTCATAACCACAATTAAGGTAGTGATAACCTTACTTACTAAGTCCCATGATCCTCCAAGTAGGAAATGTCGACAGCGCATGCTCAGCTTGGCATGTCTGATTCATGTGAGTCAACGCATTCGACTCTGGGATGTGTTCATCTGGACGAGATACCCTCACTAGACAACCCAGAGACTCCAATATCCCTTAATGAAGGAATATACTTTAAATCATATTAGGGATCCTATTAAAATTTATGGTATATTCCTTAATTAAGGGATATTGGAGTCACTAGACAATAATGCACTATACAAGATCATGCTACAGTATACAATAACATACCGTACTACTAGAATGTACTACAATACACTATCGCCATATTAAACATCACATACGACTGTGCTATAATACGAGGAAGCATAGGCCCAATCCCAAGAATCGAATCTCTCTACCTCAGCCCTAGCCTGGCTTAGGGTTTAGGGTTTAGGGTTTAGGGTTTAGGGCTTAGGGTTTAGGGTTTAGGGTTTAGGGTTTAGGGTTTAGGGTTCAACATTCGAGGCCGTATATCGTAGGAGCTGGAAACTGCGGGCAGCCTCACCTCGGGGCTGAGGCTTGGGGTTCCGGGTCACCGAAAACCTCACTTCAAGACTCAAGATATCCCTACTGGGAGGATCATGGGACTTAGCAACTAGGAGTATAAATAAGGGAACTATACTTATAAGTAATTATAACCCCAATTAAGGTAGTTATAACCTTACTTACTAAGTCCCACGATCCTCCAAGTAGGGTTTAGGGTTTAGGGCTTCCCCACATGGCGGAAAGAGCGCCCGGAGAAGGTGAATTGTAGGGGCTGGAAGGGATTAGAATGGGGTTTTGGAATAGATTCGACTATAATTCGAATAAAGAACCCCCCAAACAAGTATGCTATATAAACTGTTTTGAGAAGAAGAAACCCCCATAATGGTATATTATACATAATTCTTAAGGCCCCTGTATCTACTTTGATTATAATAAGGGACCCCCAAAATAGTCTAGGCAATTCTTAAGGCCCCTATGGCACCTGCTTCAGCTGCAGCAGGTCCCAGAATGCGTCCGGTTGCCCGGCAACCTGCGCGCGCGAGCGCGAGGGACCCAGAGACTCCCATATCCCTTAATTAAGGAATATACCTTAGATTATAATAGGATCCCTAATATGATTTAAGGTATATTCCTTAATTAAGGAATATACCTTAGATTATAATAGGACCCCTACTATGATTTGAGGTATATTCCTTAATTAAGGGGTATTGGGTTCCTAAACCCTAAACCCTAGACCCTAGACCCTAAACCCTAAACCCTAAATATACCTTAACTAAATATAAATAGGATCCCTAATATGATTTAAAGTATATTCCTTAATTAAGGGGCCCTAAACCCTAAACCCTAATCCTACTATTCCTTAATTAAGGGGTTTGGGAGTCTCTGGGGAGGCGACCGACGCGTCGGCAAAGAGTCAGGAGAAATCGGTAAAGCTGATAACTACTAGCCCAAAGCCCGGGTTTAGGGTTTAGGGTTAAGGCGTTTAGGGTTTGGGGTTTAGGGTTTTAGGGTTTAGGGTTTAGGGGTTTAGGGGTTGGGGGTTTTAGGGTTCAGGGCTTACTTGGAGGATCATGGGACTTAGTAAGTGATGTTATAACTACTTTAATCGGGGTTATAAGTACGTATAAGTATAGCTACCTTATTTATAACCCTAGTTACTAAGTCCAATGATCCTCTAAGTACTAGCCCAAAACCCAAAACCTTCAACCCCTAAACCCCAAACACTGAAACGGCTTTGTGACTGCGATTAGAGGCTTTATGGATTTTATGGGGGTTGTAGGCTTTAGGGCTTAGGGTTAAGCGAAAACTGCTGGAAAACAACATCAGATTCTGCAGCCCCTAAACCCTAAACCCTAAACCCCTAAACCCTAATTCTGCACATTGAACTGCAGAGCAGCGCTCGCACAACTCGAAACAAGGAGGGAAGATCTCCTCACGACTGTTGATGGACAAAATTAGGTCTAGGGTTTAGGGTTTAGGGTTTAGGGTTTAGGGTTTAGGGTCTAGGGTGACCCAAATATAGCATAGCACCATGAATCCCACAGTTTAGGTATATAAGGTCATGCAGGATTTTGTCCATCAGCCGGAGGAACGCTTTTTCTCTGCCTGGATGCTGGCGGATCGACTTTCGCTATGCTTTTGGACTCTGCCTCTCACTCCTCGACGTCGGCCTAGTGCTTCTTGAGACGCGCCACGGTGGCGCGCACCGTGGCAGCGGGGCTCGTGGTCGGGGTGGCTGCTGACCACCCGCCATGACTTTGCTGCAGGTCTTGGAGTATACGTTGCACTTTCAGATACCACCTGCTTCGCGCTTCACGTTCCCGCTGCCGCGGAAAGCGCACGTGTCGAGGGAACATTGCTGGATCGCACACGTCCCGGGGCACGCTGGTGGGTCATAACTACGACATCCCTGAATAAGAGGCAGCCGGCAGCATGATCATGCATCTGCCACGACGACAACTGCAGGCACTACTCATCTGCAGAAGCAACAAGCAACTCTCTCATACTCTGTCAGAAACAGCTGAGAAACCACAACATGAAATCAAGCGAACATCGCCGAACAGTGTCCGTTTGCAGCGCCTGTGTGTAGGTCTAATGCCAAGGAAATAGTAGAATGTAGAAGATTGAGACATGATTAAATGTTACTAGGCAAGCGCTGCTGCAACTCTGCCAACGACTGGGCTCTCGGTATGCTGTTGTAAAGAGCAGACTGCATCATGACACACCATGGGCTGACTTTGCTCAACAACGAAACCGTCCAAGTGTGTGGCAGTCAAGAGAGCCCAGAGCTGTCCAATGCTGGCTATGACGCTCGCTGCTGAATGCTGTGCAGAAGACCATGGCCAGAAGTTGGCAAGACACGATAGCTGCAAGCCTTTTTTGACGGATGGCATGCTGCTCAGACGATGCTCGTTCATGCTTCTAGCCTCTCATTTACTCGTCGACGCCGCCGGCCTGCTGCTTCTTGAGACGCGCGATGGTGGCGCGCACCGTGGCAGCGGGGCCCGTGGTCAGGGTCCAGCAGCCACCCGCCATGACTTTGTTGCAGGTCTTGGAGTTGCACTTCCAGATGCCACCTGCTTCACGCTTCACGTTCTCCTTGCCGCAGAAAGTGCACATGTACCGGGCGCGCTGCTGGATCTCGTAGCGCTTCACGATCTTTCGGAGGGAGGCACCATAACGTGTGCCGTACTTGCCCGTGATGCCGACCTTCTTGGTACGCTTGGCCATGGCTGTTGAAAGGACGAGGAAGGGCCACCCGCACGAAATCCCTGGATAAAGGCCGACGGCAGCATGATCATGCATCCGACACGACGAGTGGAAGCACTACTCATCTGCAGCCACAACAAATGACAAAATCACAACTCTATCGGGCAGCAGACCCTGAGCCCTAAAACCCAAACCCTAAACCTTACACGACTACTTGGAGGGTCGGGGGACTTAGTAAATGGTTATTTTATAGACTTATTAGTACTATAACCCCAATTAGGGTCCCTTTTAGGGTACTTATAAGTCTACTTATTACCTACTTACTAAGTCTCCCGACCCTCCAAGTAAGCGAACATGCATCACAGACCGTTGGAGTGCATCCGGCGAGATGCCAAGCAGAGATCAAGGCTTCGGCTAAGTCCTAACTCCTAAACTCCTAAACCTACTCTAGAGGCCTTAATAATTAGAATAGGGTTTAGGGATCTATAGTTTAGGGTTTAGGGCTTAGGGTTTAGGGTTTACGGCTTAGGATTTAGGGCTTAGGGTGTAAGGTTTAGGGTTCTATACCAGGGGCCTTGTAATTAGAGTAGGTTTACCGTGTATATTATACTATAACTAGAACAACGAACCCCCACAATAGCATTGGTAATTGTGTCGGCCCCTATATTAACTTCCTACAACCCCCAGCCTCTACTGATACTGTGCCACTACTCCACTGAAGGGTACTCTAGACTCTGTACTCTATACCCTCTTCTCCATGCTCTATGCTCCATATTCCATACTCCATACTCTATACGCTATACCCAGAGAACCCAATACCCCTTAATTGAGGAATATACCTTAACCCCTGTAGTTTAAGGTATATTCTTTCATTCAGGTGTATTGGGTTCTCTGGGTACTGTATACTGTCTACTCTATACTCTATACTCTATACGCCATACTCTATACTCTGTACTAGTACTATACTAGGCTAGATAACCCTAAACCCTAAACCCTAAACCCTAAACCCTAAACCATACTAGACTAGATCCCAAACCAGTCCCTTCCAGCACTCGCCCCCTCTTTCTTCTCAACCCGAACGGCTAAGGTGCGATGTGAAGCGGAACACAAGGCTCAAATGACCTCTCCGATGGTGGCCAAAGATCGGCCAACGAACACCACTTTGCATTTTCTTGTGGCTTGTCCTTGACAGCTTAAATGGCTAAAAGGGTTTAGGGCTTAGGAACTAGGGTTTAGGGCACTGTCCTAGGAGGTTTGCGATGCAGACTGCGGAAAGGCACATTTGAGTGGGTCTGGTTCCTTGAGAACTGGACCCCAAGAGGCTGATAAGCTCCTGTCGTGCCAGGAATACCAGTAAGAAATCAAGAAAGATGCATGCAGATACTTCGGTTTAGGGTTTAGGGTTTAGGGTTTAGGGCTTCTTCTCCTGGCATAGCTGATCAGTCAGAATCTGGAGGGGACGGGATGGGAAGATAACGGAGCATGCGCCGCATTCATTGGCAACAGATACCTGTAATTCACAGTGTAACCTGAGACGGCCGTAGAAACAGTATCTTCCCATCGCGACATTGCAAAGCCCTGCGTAGCTGCGCTTGCTACACCTTCATCAAGAAGAGCTTGAACCTCCCAAGTGGTAGGAAGCCAAAGGCTCTGGTCATGCAGGTTCGGATACGAGATGAGCAGAAGGCATGTTTGGGTTTGCGGTTCAGAGTTTAGGGTTAGGGTTTAAGAACCTGCAGGACGAGCTGGAGCCGCGAAGAGGACACGTCCCTTTACTTCAGCCTGAATCGACTGCTGAGAAACAGCACCTACTTGGACCTGTAAAGGACGCCCGTGTGGGATCTTTGTGCGGCAAGTAAGTCTGTGATCTCAGACATCTGGCATATGTTGGCACGCAGACTTACTTCCGACAAAACTGGATGCAGAAGCAGTCACGCTACCCTTCAGCGGCAGTTTGCACCTTGCACCCTTGTGACTGGCTGCTCTCCAGTATTCGAGCTTTCAAAGAGGCATTAAAACTGAAGACGCTGCTGCAGCTGTTAAGCACGCAATAGATCGAAACTGACCGGCGTGGCTTCCTCACAAGCAAACTAGACTTCGATTCCTGGATGAAACGCAATACCGACAACACCGGTCCTTGACTCACAGTTAAAAAGAATGCAGCTGAGCATGGACACATCTCGAGCACGTCGTACGAACAAGAGCCTCGTTCGCAAACAGCCGAGTCGCGACGTGGGCAGGGGAGGCGGCGGATAGGTGGCATTGGATTCTTGTTCAAGGGAGGGTTTAGGGTTTAGGGTTTAGGGTTTAGGGTTTAGGGCTTAGGGGAGTCCTTGCAGCTTCATTATGGAAACCTAGGGCTTACTTCACCACTGCCGCCGCATCCGAAACGAAAGAGACTCTTCACCACCTTGTCCGGCCGCCACACTCCTCGAAAGCACAGTTCTAAGGGCTTTAGGAGGGACCCCTAATAGGGACCCTTGTAGGTTATTGGGGTGAATATGGAGACTACCTGGCTATATAAGGGTTATATAAGGACTATACAATGGTTATTTAAGGTAATGGGATTAAGGGTCCCGATTAGGGGTCCCTCCTAAAGTGCTTAGAACAGTGGGCATCCGGAGACTCCATGGTCCGTTGGAGACTCTCGGCCACTCAGCAAGGAGCAACCCTACTTAGAGGATCATGGGACCTAGCAGCTAGGGTTATAAATAAGGCAACTATACTTCTAAGTAATTATAACCCAAATTAAGGTAGTTATAACCTTACTTACTAAGTCCCATGATCCTCCAAGTAAACCCTGAACCCTAAAACCCTGGGCCCTAAACCAAAACCCTGTACCCTTAACCCCTAAACCCTAAACCCCTAAACCCCTAAACCCCTAAACCCCTAAACCCCTAAACCGCTAAACCCTAAACCCCTAACCCCTAAACCCTAAATCAAGCAAAGAGGTCCTGGCTCTTTCATCCACCCTTGTTGGGCGTCGGCGGCGTCGGATCCATGTTGCAGTCCCCCAGCAGGGGCTGGCTGAGCGTGTGAGGCGGCTCCTGAAACCACATACGGTTTAGGGTTTAGGGTTTAGGATTTGGGGTTTAGCGCCAGAAGATGCAACGAAGAAATCCCACGAGGAATCGCCCGCGAAGGGATGAAATGGGGCAACAAGCACAGGTACACTTCCTGAGCTCCCTAAAAGCCTAGGCTCCCCAGTAGCCCCTTACTTTTTCCTACTATTCGGTTTTTAAAAGGGAACCCAAAAAGAAAAAGGGCCAAAGGGCTCCACCGTGGCAACCTAGAAGCTTACCCAAAATCCCTAAATCCCCTACTCCTTAAACTCTCTAAACCCAGCTTCCTAAACCCAAAGCTCCCTAAACCCTAAACTCTGTTTCTGAAACCCTAAACCCTAAACCGAAAATCCTAAGCCCTAAACCCTGTTTCTGAAACCCCCTGCTCCTTAAACTCTCCAAACCCAACCCTAAGCTCTAAGCCCTAAACTCTGTTTCGGAAACCCGGAACCCTAAACGGAAAACCCCAAACCCTGTTTTGAAACCCCTACCCCTTAGACTCTCTAAACCGAGCTTCTAAACTTAAATCCTACTTGGAGGATCATGGGACTTAACCCAGGTTATATAAACAATGGAACGATACTTCTAAGTAATTATAAGGGCAATTAAGGCAGTTATAACATTAGTTACTAATTAAGTCCCATGATCCTCCAAGTAAGCCCTGAACCCTAAAACCCTAAACCCTAAACCCTAAACCCTAAACCCTAAACCCTAAACCCTAAACCCTAAACCCTAAACCCCAACCCCTGAAACCCTAAACCCTAAACCCGAAAACCCTAAACCCCTAAACCCTAGACTGAATCCCTAAGCCCCGAACCAGCAGATCCGGCCTGGTTCGACTGAATGCTGGGCTGCCTCATGCGCTCCAGGGTCTCGTGGAGCAACTCTTGACCTTTCTGCAGGGGCGTTTAGGGGTTAGGGTTTAGGGGCTAGGGTTTTTAGGGCTTTAGGGTTTTAGGGTTTAGGGCTTCAGGGTTTTAGGGTTTAGGATTTTAGGATTTCGGGTTTAGGGTTTTAGGATTTAGGGTTGAGGGTTTAGGGGCTTAAGGGTTAGAGTTTGCGGGTTTGGGGTTATGGGTGAACGGGTTATGGGGTTTGGGGTTTAGGGCTTAGGTGTTGAGGGGTCTAAGGGTTCAGCAGTCTATAGGTTTAGGGTTTAGGGTTTAGGGTTTAGGGTTTTTTTTTGAGTGTGTTGTGGGACTTTCACTCTGCAGAGGTCCAGTCTCAGCCCTTAGGGCCCAACACCTAGAACAGATCCCCTCTCATTGCTTGCCCATCACGACAGC